TGTTTGAGCCATCGGGGGGCCCCAAGGGTTTTAGGGGGCCCCCAGGAGTTTCCGATGTGAGGGAACTGCAGCAGCAAGAGCAAGCGACTGCGCCAGGGTTTAGGGTTTAGGGTTTAGGGTTTAGGGTTTAGGGTTTGGGGTTTAGAATCCAAAAAATACAATGCAGCGTTCAAAAATTAGGGTTTAGGGTTTAGGACAAGAAATTCCCTCGGATGCCGCAGCAGCCGCCGTGGCTGCGTTGACGAGTCGACGCCTCTGCATGCAGGGTTTAGGGTTTAGGGTTTAGGGTTTAGGGTTTAGGGTTTGGGGTTGACTGCAGGAAATAATTTTAATGCAACTTTAATTGCAGCAAGCCGCCGCAAAGAAAACCCGAAACTCGCTGCTGCTGCTGCCGGTACGCCCCAGCTCCCGCGCTGGGCGAAAACCCTAAACCCTAAACCCTAAACCCTCGAACCTAAACCCTAAACCCTAATCCCTAAACCCTAAATCCCAAGTCTCGGGCCTTGGAAACGCTCAAGAGCTTAGGAAGCGCCCGAGTTCTGGGGGCAGCAGCTCGAGGGTTTAGGGTTTAGCCCAGAACTAGGGTTTAGGGTTTAGCCCAGAACTAGGGTTTAGGGTTTCGCTTCCGTAGGAAATAAAGAAACAGAACTGTGGCGGAGACAGAACTGCTCTAGGGTTTAGGGTTTAGCGGCTGCAGGAGCAGCAGCGCAGCAGCTAGGGTTTAGGGTTTAGGGTTTGGCTAAAACAGCAAAAAGCAAACCGAGGGTTTAGGGTTTAGGGTTTGGCACTGAGTTGCTTCTTCTTCTCCCCTCCTTTACGTGTCCCCCACTCTCCTTTCCGCACTTCGTGTCTCCTCCCCCTCAGCCTATCAAACCCTAAACCCTAAACCCTAAACCCTAAACCCTAGAAATCCAACCCTAGTAAGGTCAGCTCGTAACACCAAACCCTTCCTGTTTCCTTTCTCTTAGGGTTTAGGGGCCCCTTTAGGGGGCCCTAAACCCCCAAAGGGGGGCCCTAAACCCTATCAGGGGCCCCTTGGGGGCCCCTTGGGGGCCCCCTGAGGGCCCCTTGGGGGCCCCTTAAGGGCCCCTTGAGGGGCCCCAGGGGCCCCCAAAAAGGGGCCTCTAGACCCTGTGCCCTGGGGCCCCCTTAGAGGGGGCCCTAGACCCTGTGAGGGGCCCCCATAAAGGGGCCCCCGCGCCTTGGGGGCCCCTAAAGGGGGCCCCTAGGGGCCCCTTTTGGGGGCCCTAGGGGCCCCCAAAACGGGTCCCTGGGGCCCCCAAAAGAGTGCCCTAAGGGCCCCCAAAGGGGGGCCTTAGGGGCCCCTAAAAAGGGTCCCTGGTGGCCCCAAAAGGGGGCCCTGGGGGCCCCCAAAGGGGGCCCCGGGGGCCCCCAAAGGGGGCCCCCATAGACCCGGTAATCCAAGGGGCCCCTGGGACCCTTAAGGGCCCCTCAAGGCCTCCAAGACCCTTAGGGGTCCCCCTAGGGGGGCCCCTAAAGCCTCTTGGGGGCCCCTGGGCCCCCTACGCCAACTTGCGGGGGCCCCTAGGGGCCCCCTGGGGGCCCCCAGGGGCCCCCTAGGGTACCTCTAGGGGCCCCCTTGGGGCCCCCAAACCTCTATCAGCATAAAAGCTTGGGGGCCCCTAGGGGCCCCCAAGAAGCTCACCAGTCTCTTTCTTAATTGGTTTCTTTTTATTTAAAAAAGCTGTTGGGGGCCCCCTAAGTGCTGCAGAGTTGTCTTTAAGGCTGGAGTGTACTGGGAAATTCGCTTTGCGGCTCTAGGGTTTAGGGTTTAGGGTTTAGGGTTTAGGAGGCTGTGGGGTTTGTCGCGTTGGCAAAAGCCCTCAATTCGTCCGCTGTAAATAAATGAGTGTTTTGAATCCTGCGGAACTTGTTGAGGTGTCTGTACACCGCAGAGCACAAACCCTAAACCCTAAACCCTAAACCCTAAACCCTCGCAGCCTGACGAGCCCCTCAGCCCTAAACCCTAAACCCTAAACCTAAACCCTCGCAGCCTGAAGGGCACTTCAAACCCTAAACCCTGAACCCTCACACCCTGAAGGGCCCCCCAACCCCTAAACCCTAAACCCTAAACCCTCACAGCCGCAGCAAAATGGCCCTTCAAACCCTAAACCCTAAACCCTCAGATCCTCGCTCTTCATGCACGCAAGGCGTTCTTGCTCGCATTAAATTAAATTAATTAATTAATTAATTTTATTTATTTTTATTTATTTATTTATTTATTTATTTATTTATTTATTTATTTATTTATTTATTTATTTTTTGATATTTCGCCCACCTGGTTCTTTGCCGCTTCTCCTGCCCCCTCTGCTTGGCCGGGTTGTTTGTTCTGCAAATTAAAAATAAACAAATAAACAAATAAATAAATAAATAAATAAATAAATAAATAAATAAATAAATAAATAAATAAATAAATAAATAGATAAATAAATAATAAATAAATAAATAAT